TTTTTGTATAATGATCTTTTTGGAGACAATGTCTCACTTTGTCACCCAGGCTGGAGTGCAATGGCATGAACACCACTCGCTACAGCCTCGCCTTCCCAGGCTCAAGCAATCTTCCCACCTCAGCCTCCCAAGTAGCTAGGACTACAGGTGCATGCCACCACGCCAGGCTAATTTTTGAATTTTTTGTAGACACAGGGTTTCACCATGTTGCCCAGGCTGGTCTCCACCTCCTGGGCTCAAGTGGTCCGCCCACCTCAGCCTCCCAAGTAGCTGGGACTACAGGTGTGTGCCACCATGCCCAGCTAACCTTTGTATTTTCTATAGACACAGAGTCTCACTATGTTGCCCAGCTAGTCTCGAACTCCTGGGCTCAAACGATCCACCTGCCTAGGCCTCCCAAAGTGCTGGGATTACAGGCGTGAGCCACCGCGCCTGGCCTTAGTCCCATCTTTGTCATCTCATCCATTGGCTTGACCAGATGCACAGGTGTTACCCTTTGATTCCCTTGGCCATCTTTCTAGTTTCAGAGCATCAATCATGTCTGTCTTGACAGCTCTGCAATTTCTCACTCCATCCTCTCAAGCTCTCCTATGAACTCCAGGCTCCAGGTTCATAGATCCAAATCTCTGCTTGGATCTCAACATACCATTTCCACAAGCGAAGCCTTCATTGTTCACCCCAGACTTGCTTCTCTTCGCATGCCCCGCATCTTAGTAAAGGTTCTTCCTCTTGCTCAGGCCAAAGTCTTGGAGTTCTTGACTCCTCTATTTCTCTCAAACACCATGTCCTATTCCTCAGCAAATCTTGTTGCCTCTCCCCCCAAAATCTATCCAGAAGCTGATCTTCTATTCCCACCCTGGTCCAAGCCACCAGTCTCTCATTAGGATGGCTGTGGTGGCCTCCTCACTGGACTCCCATGCTTGCCCTCCCCCAGTCCCTTTGCCACACTGCTACAAGAGTAACTGGAAAACTTAAGTCAAGATTACGTCTTGCTCCTGGTAAAAGCCTCCAATCACTTCCTTTATAACACTGACTTCCAGAAGACCTTCTAACTATGACCTCAAACCCAGAAGGCATAGAAGACAAAAGAGCCCAACTAGCTAAACATAAACTTCTCGTGTCTAAAAAACACCATAAAATCAATGAAAAACGAGGAAAAGTATTTGCACTATTTAACACAAAGGGGTACTCTCCCTCATATATGGAAGGTACCTAGGATTCTACATATTATTTATTTATTTGAGAGAGTCTCGCTCTGTCACCCAGGCTGGAGTACAGTGGTGCGATCTCGGCTCATTGCAACCTCCGCCTCCTAGGTTCAAGCAATTCTCCTGCCTCAGCCTCCTGAGCAGCTGAGATTACAGGTGCCCGCCACCACGCCTGGCTAATTTTTGTATTTTTAGTAGAGACGGTGTTTCACCATGTTGGCCAGGCTGGTCTTGAACTCCTGACCTCAGGTAATCTGCCCGCCTCGGCCTCCCAAAGTGCTGGGATTACAGGCATGAGCCACTGCACCCGACCGATTTCTAGATAAAAAAAGACCAACAAGAGGATCACTTGAGCCCATGATTTCAAGACCAGCCTGGGCAACATAGTGGATCCTGTCTCTATTTAAAAAAAGAAAAAAAAAACCCAAGAAGACCAACAATACAATTAATGGGCAAATGTCAGGAATAGACATTTTGCAGGAGAAATAAAATGCACATAGTTTTTAAACATGTGAAAAGAGAAATACAAATTAAAAACCACACTAAGATCAAACAAAAACTTGTACGTGAACGTTCATAGCAGCATGATTTACAATAGCCAAAAGGTAAGAACACGTGAAATGCCCATCCATGGATGAATGGATAAACAAGATGTGGTGTACACAGACAACAGACTACGACTCAGTTAGTTATAAAAAGGAAGGAATTCTGACCATGTTACAGCATGGATGAACCTCAAAAACATGATACTAAGAAAAACAAGTCAGACACAAAAGGTCATGCATTGTATGATTCCATTGATGTGAAGCTTCCAGAACAGTCCAATCCATTGAGATGGTAGATTAGCAGCTGCCAGGGCCTGGGGAGCTGGGGAATGGGGAGAGACTGCTGAATAACCACCGGATCTCCTTTTGGGGATGAAAGTGTTCCAGTAGAGAGAGGCAATGGTCACACAACAATGCAATGTACCAAATGCCACCAAATTGTAAATTTTAAAATGGTTAATGGCTACTTTTCTGTTATATGAATTTTTCCTCAGTTGAAAAAATTAAAAACACAAAGAAGAAACAAAACCCCACGCTGAGAAACCATGTCTCCATCTCAGCTTGGCATACGCCTCCCTGCGGCGAGTGAGGGCACTGTGTGGGCAAGGCTGGGGGAGCCGGCCCTCATCCTGCCCGTGGGGCTGCCAAGTGGGCAGGCCCTAGGGAGTGGAGTTAGCCAATATCTGCTATGCCGACTTTGTAGCTGAAGAGAGAATGAGGAGGGTCTCTATGCACCCATGTGGAAAGATGCCAACTATTGGGATATATCACTAATGGACACTACGGTGTCGAACAGCATGCAAGCGCAATACCTTTCGTGTGAGAAAGGTGAGGGCCAGGAGGGGCAGCCATAGGAGCTTGTCTTTGTCTAGAGAAAGAGGACAGGTAAACAGGCAGTGAAGAAAAGCACATCTCTGTTGGGGACATTGCAGGAACTGGCTTCCATGCTGACATGGGAACCACCTGAATACATGGCTTCTGCTGGACAGTGAAGGTGAGGGAAAAGGGTAGCATCCAGCCCTGCCCCTCATCTTGGAGCTTCCTCCTTCCCCTTGTTCCAGCCCAGCGCACCTTTTTTTTTTTTTTTTTTTTTTGAGATGGAGTTTCACTCTTGTCATCCAGGCTAGAATGTGGTAGCGTGATCTCGGCTCACTGCAACATCCACCTCCTGGGTTCAAGCGATTCTCCTGCTTCAGCCTCCCGAGTAGCTGAGCTAACAGGCACCTGCCACCACACCCAGCTAATTTTTGTATCTTTAGTAGAGATGGGGTTTCACCATGTTGGTCAGGCTGGTCTCAAACTCCTGACCTCAAGTGATCCACCCGCCTCAGCCTCCCAAAGTGCTGGGATTACAGGCGTAAGCCACCGTGCCCAGCCTCCAGCTCACCTTTGACCCAGACTTGGTGTTCCCTCTGCCTGGAACGCTCCCTCCCGCATCAGAATGGCTGACTTCTTGTCATTTGGATGTCAGCTTAAATGTCCCCATGCTAGAAAGGCCAGTTCATCTTGTTCCTACATTTTGTTTTGGTTTTTTGTTTCCCTCTCTGTTGTCTACACATACAGCCCCCAGGAACGAGGACCGGGTGAGCAAAGTAGGTGACCACTCCTGACACACACTGATCCTTGGTGACCTTATCCAGTTCCAGAGCATCAAATAGCCTCCTCAGCCAAACACAGTGGCTCACACCTGCAATCCCAGCAATTTGGGAGGCTGAGGTGGCAGGATCACTTGAGCCCCGCAGTTCGAGACCAGCCTGGGCAACAGAGCTCTTAAGACCCCATATCTACAAAAAAATTTTTTTTTAATTCTGTTCCAATTTTCATGTACATAAAAATAGCTGGGTGTGGTGGTGCACACCTGTAGTCCCAGCTACTCAGGAGGCTGAGGCGGGACGATCACTTGAGCCCAGGAGGTGGGGGCTGCAGTGAGCTGAGATCTCACCACTGCACTCCAGCCTGGGAGACAGAGCAAGACCCTGTCTCCAAAAAAAAAAAAGGAAAGAAAGAAAAAGTACATTACTCTACCCTCATCTCTATTCCTAGTGATGCCAGATGGCTACTTCCCGGCCACGCTGAATGAGACACTGGGCCTCTGCACTGTCGGGCGCCATCAGATCTCCACATTTGCCAGGAAGGGGAGGCCAGACCCAGGACTGAGGTGCTCCTGACCAGTGAGGGGCTATCCTCGGTCCTTTCTTCTTGGCTTCAGGCCAGGGGAGGAAACAGGGAGCTGTTAGCTGGCCTTTCTCAGCCTCCTGGAGCCAGGCCTGCCTGCCTCAGCTTAGCCAAATGGAACCTGGGGAACCCAGCTGCTGAGATGGCAGAGTAGGGGTCCTGGACCCATCCCCGATCTGGATCCTGCCCCAAGGGCTGTCTGAGCAGGGCTAGCTAGGGCAGGGCAGGCAAGTATTGAGCGCAGGGCACCACAGCAGACCGACTGTGCTGGGACGGCCCAGAGCAAGGAAGGCAGGGGTGGCCACAGGACGGCCATGTCCCCTACAGGAAACTCAAGAGGAGTCCAAGGGCCTGGGAAAGAGGCCTGGGGAGGAACCCCCTTCCCACCCACCAGAGCCACCACCGCCCAAGGACAGGTGCCCATGGTCAAGAAGCAGGGCCACAAAGACACCTCAGGAATGGTGGGGCTGCCCCGGTGACAGATTCCCCAGGCACGCATGACACGTCCAGAACAGGCCAATCCATGGAGACAGAAAGCAGATGAGAGCCTGGCAGGGGGATGTGAAGCGGGGAGCCTGCTCATGGCCACAGGGCCTTTTGGAGGGATGAAAATGTCCTGGAAGCAGACCAAGGTGATGATTACACAACATGGCAAATGTGCTAAATGCCACCGAATTGTACAGTTTTAAATGGTCAAAACGACAAATGAATTTGGTCCGAACACAAATGGTTTCTCACACTGCAGGCGCTCCAGCTCTGACATGTGCACTTCTTTATTGGAAAAGAATAAAGCAGTCACTGACGTGCCGGGGGCAGGACACGAGCAGCTGCCATCCTCCTCCCAACGTGCCTGGCATGGTCGCAGGGGAGCAGGTGCCTGGAGTCCCGGGGACACCACAGGGCATGCTGAGGGAGCTGAGGAGCCAAGGCTGTGCAGCTTCCCAGACGCTCAGCGGATCTGGTGTGAAGACAAGGTGGGTGGAGGAGACAAGGAAGGCGAGGGGTGAGCAGGGACTGGCCACCATCCCCACCTGGGAGGGGTCCCTGCCAGCCCCTCCTCACCGTGTACTTGTCCCACTTCTTTTCAGGGTCGTAGGGTTCCCAGCGGCTGGCAGGGAAGATGTGCTTGTTCTTCTCGTACCAGCTCCTCAGCACCACCTTGCCTGCATGTGACTAAGGGAGGAAGAGGGCAAATGGTCGCCTGCCAACCTCCCCTTCCCTTAGTTTCTCCTCCACAGCCCAGGGACACCCGTTCCCCGTAACACGGCCCCCAATGCTGTACCTCATCCTTCTCCACAGTGGCGTCACTGAGCAACCGCACATCGTCATGAACATCAAAGTTGAAGAGTGGCCCTGCAGGAGAGAAGCAGACAGCCCAATGTCCCGCTGCTGCCCCGGTGACAATATCGGGCGCAAGGTGCTATGGGGGTGGCTGGGCCGGGGGCACTCACCACTCTTCCCCCGTGCCTTGGTGACGATGAAGTCGTAGAAGCTGTGATGCTGGGAGCCAAGGGCAGGAAAGTGGCGCCTTGATGGCCCATCTCGGCCCCTCCCCCCACCCCCCGCCTGCACACACCACCCCCACCAGCCTGAGCCAAAGCCCAGGGTGCAGCACCCACTGCGGGTCCTGGGACTGAAGGGACTCACATGCGGGATGATCAAGTCCTCCTTGATGTACATGAGCTGCTCCACCCCTGCGGACCTGAGGGAGGAAGGCAGGAGGGCGTGGGCAAGAGGACAGCACCCCTGCCTATGGAGGGAGGAGGCAGCCAGCCCAGGAGAGCCTGCGCTGGGGCTGCGAGACAGCGGCCAGTGGGCTCTGAGGGAAGCTCCATGGTTTAGTGAGCCCAGGACTGGCACCCAGCACCCTCCCCCTTCGGACTAAGGAAGCAAGGCAGTGCGCTCCCAGCGAAGCTCTCTGGTGGGAGGGAAGGGAAGAGGAGCCTGACCCCATCTTTTGGGAGGATAGTGCCCAGCACGCTGCCTCCTTGCCCAGGCAGCGCCACATCACACTGGGTGTCCGGCACCCGGGCTGGAGCCACAGGTGCCACACACACCACCATGCACACAGGCACACCTCGCACCTCAGCTCACTGAAGTCTTTCCGAAGAATCTCGAGCGCCTTCTGCAGGAACTGCTGCATGGTGTTGCCCTTTCGCATCTGCATCCGGGAATCCAGGAGTTGGGAAGGGAAGGCAAAAGCCTGCAGAAGGGCTCTCAAGAAGGCAGAGGCCCAGACGGCCCTGCCAGAGACTGCAGAGCCTCAGCCAGGCCTGGGCCTCACTCCCCAGAGGGCCAGGTCCCGGAGCCTGTTATCCTCAGGATCCCTGGGGCTTCCCAAGTCAGGAAGGTCAGTTCCTTCCCAAGGAACCTAAGGGAGGCTGGGCCTATGGTGAGCAGGAAGCAGGCTGCACGCTGCCTACCTTGACTGTCCGCCGGTGCCCAGAGCCATCCCAGTAGCTGAAGGTGATCTCGATCTCCTCGCCTACAAGGCAGAGCTGCCTCTTGGTCTCCAGACTCAGGCACCCCCACCCCACCAAGAGCAGCCTTGGGGCTCAGCTTTCCTGGGCCCCTCGCGTCCGACTCCTCAAAGACTCACTCTTGATCTTCTCCTGCTTGGCTTCCCACTCCTGGCGCAGCTCTTCCCGAAGCCGATTCTCCTCCTCCTGGGAGAGGGAGCAGGCAGACGGGTGAGGCCCAGGGCTGCTCAGGGTGCACGCAGAGCTTGGCTCCCTGAGCAAGGGTATTCACCAGGACTGGAGTCGAGGCCGGGGTCAGGGCCAGGCAACCTTTACCTCACGGTCTCGATCAGGCAAGAAGCTTGTGTCCACGTCTGGGTTCTTCCCCAGTTTTCTCTTCTTCGTGGTGATCTCTGGAACAAAAGGAAGCCAAACACCATAGCATTATTATGAAAATGATTTTGCTACGGCCGACGCCTTGGGTCCCCCAAGCATACTTTGAGAACAGCTGATCTAGAAGACAAGCCTAGGGCGGGCACAGAGGCCCACGCTTGTCAACCCAACACTTAAGGGAGGATGAGGCAGAAGGATCGCTTGAGCCCAGGAGGTGGAGACCAGCATGGGCAACATAGCAAGACCTCGTCTCTACTAAAGCTCAAAACAATCAGCCTGGTGTGGTGGCGCAGCTGCAGTCCCAGCTACTCGGGACGTTGAGGTGGGAGGATCGCTTGAGCCTGGGAGGTTGGGGCTGCAGTGAGCTGTGATCAAACCACTGCACTCTAGCCTGGGCAACAGAGTGAGACCTCATCTCAAAAACAAAAAACAAAACAAAAAAAAACAAAGGCAAGTCTAAACTATTTAGCCTGATGCTCAAGGGCAGAGATTCTGGAGCCTGGTTGCAGATTAGAATCATGTGGAGAGCTTTACAAAAATGGATGTCAGGGTCTTATGGCTGGGCCCCCTAAACAGAGCCTGTGGGGGGAGGGAAGAGCCCACCAAGCAGTGTTTTGTAAAAGCCCCAGTGATACACAGTGAGGGTGACCTTTCCCCCAGGCCTGCACTGTCCACGCCAGTAGCTCCCAAGTTCGAGACCAGCTTGGGCAACATGGCGAGGTTCCATCTCTACAAAAAATATAAAAATACAAAGCGCCTGTAGTCCCAGCTACTCAAGTGGCTGAGGTGGGAGGGCCCCTTGAGTCCAGGAGGTCAAGGCTGAAGTAAGCTGTGATCACGCCTCTGCACTCCAGCCTGGGCCACAGGGAGACACTGTCTCAAAAACAACAGGCCGGGCACAGTGGCTCAAGCCTGTAATCCCAGCACTTTGGGAGGCCGAGACGGGTGGATCACAAGGTCAGGAGATCGAGACCATCCTGGCTAACACGGTGAAACCCCGTCTCTACTAAAAAATACAAAAAACTAGCCGGGCGAGGTGGCGGGCGCCTGTAGTCCCAGCTACTCGGGAGGCTGAGGCAGGAGAATGGCGTGAACCCGGGAGGCAGAGCTTGCAGTGGGCTGAGATCCGGCCACTGCACTCCAGCCTGGGAGACAGAGCGAGACTCCGTCTCAAAAAAAAAAACAAAACAAAACAACAACAATCAAAACAAACACACAAACACAAACCAGTAGCTCCCGCTGCACACGGCACCCGAGCACTACAGCTAGTGCGTGTGTCACAATGGTGATATTTTGGATACACTGGGTGAAATACAACGTAATACTAAAATCCTGCTTGCTTCTTTTTCTGTTTTACTGTGGCTGCTGGAACATAGAACCCAAATGGCAGGTGGCTGGCAGGTTCTTCTTCCCCACAATCCCGCACTTCCCTCAAAGCCATGGCACCCAGACTGTTACCACAGCCACACAGCGCCATCCCGCCTCACTTCTCTCCCTCCGCCATTCCCTGGGGAACTGCCACCACACCCTCCAGGGGCTCGTGGCACAACTTGCTCCCAATCTTCAAACGTGCCCACTCTTTCCCGCTGGACTTCTGGCATATACTTTCTCATCACCCCTCCTGTCTCTCTGGCTAATGCAATTCCCCTCATCCTTAGGGCCTAACTCAACCCTCCCCTCCTTCCCTGACCCCTGGGTTAGCCCCGTGGGCCCTGAGCAGAGCAGTAACCCTGAGTAGTGTCTTCAGTGCATGGTGACCCGTGACTTCCACCAGGAGAGGGACAGCACCCTATGTGCCCTGGCCAGGCACAGCACAGGTATGTGGCACACATGGCAGCTAGGCTGGCTTTACTCTCACTCTCCAGCCATCCTGAGCTTTCCCTGACAGCCCCTTGTTCTCACAGCTGAGACCTGCAGTGTCTGACTAGCAGCCACGGAATTTCTGTGACTATATACATTTACGCTGACACAAATCAAATAGAATTAACCATTTAGTGCCCCAGTCATACAAATCACCTGCAGCAAGTGGCTACCATATTGGGAGGCACAGACTAACATTTCCATCATCACAGAAAATGTGCCCAGCCAGCCTGGTCTAGACCAGCTTCTCCCCTCCCTGGTCTACTGTGCATGGTGCCTCTGGAGGGCAGCTTTTGGAGCCATCTTGACAGGGCATCAGCTTTGCTGACAGCCTCTCACACTGGGGACCCCTCCCCAGGGGCCACGGGCGGGGCTCTGACTCAAGCCAGCCCTCACCTTCCCTTTCCATCTCCTCCTCATACATAGCCGCCTCCTCTTCTTCCTCGCCTCCCTCTTCTTCCTCCTCCAGGGTGAAGGACAGGCTGGAGATCTTCCGCTTGGCTTCCTTCTTACGCTCCTTCTCTCGAAGCTTCTCCAGCTTCCTAGCGAGGTGCAGGTGGCCCCATCACACACCATGTCCTTCCCCAACCCTGACCCAGCCCCTTCCTTGACCCAGAACCACCTGTGTGCCCTATGTGGGTCCTGCCCAGCCTAGGCTGGGTCCCCAGTGCCCCAGAGGGGTCCTGCTGTCCTGGATCACTTCAAGCTCATGGGTGAGGGCTCTGTTACAAACAGCAAGCACAGAGGGCCATAGGGGCTGCAGGACAGAGAGGAATGGGGGGAATGCAGGCTGCTCAGGCGCCAGATGCAGGGAAAGGACCCACTGCATTTAGAGGGTCAGAAAGAAGCCAAGCCGCCATGGTGAGAAGACGTGAGCGTGGACCCAAGGAGACAGGAGAGAGAAATGCAAATCGCAAGCTAGATGCTACCCCTGTCCCAAGGCAGGAGACAGGGTCTCCCCCCAGGGTGCAAAAAGAGCCTGACCGGCCCCGGGACCCCGTGAGCACTAGCTCCATGTTGAGGGCTGCGGCGAGAGGACCCACATCTGCAGCTCCTTGGACTGCTCCTTCTTGGCCAGCTGCTTCTCCCGCTCCTTCACCAGAGCCTCCTGCTTGGCCTTCATGTCATTCAGGGTCACAAGACCTTTGAAGCAAGGAGGCACAAGGGGCAAGGTAGTCACAGGGCCAGCAGAAGAGTGGCCCGGGGCCCGGGTGAGGGGCACCCGCACCCTGCTCACCCACGGTGCTGGACTTGAGCTCTGCCTCTACCGCGTCGTAGTGCGCAGAGAACTTCTTGTCAATGTTGGATTTCATGATGTTTTCCTGCGGGGAGGGACAGCCACCATGAGAGCCACCCCTCACTGTGGAAAAGGCAGGCTGGTCATCAGGGACCTGGGTTACAGTCCAAATCTGCCCCTGTGCCCTTGTGGATGGAAGGTTCCATGAGGCTGGGCGGGGCTCTTCAAGTGCTAAGAGTGCCAAATGGGGCCGTTTCCATTCCTGAGCTGCTCTGGCTCTTCAGGTCTCCTGCTGGGAATCACAGGTCCCTCAGTAGCCTGAAGCCACCAACCCTATTGACCTTTGGCCTTTTTCATCTCCAGCCTTTAAGCTGAAGCTTCCGAGACCCAAGCCAAGGGGTATCAGGAGAAGGCAAACAAGAACAGAGTGGCTGAGGGGCCTGGTCCCTCCCTGAGTGATTTTCCTCCCTCTAGGCCCCCAAATGTCATCAACAGCTTCCCAGGAGGCCTCTCTTTGGCCCCAGCCCCATCCCACTTGGTACCATGTCAAGCCCTCGCTGACCAGCGGCCTCCCAAGGTGGCTGGCAGACAAATACACCTTCTGCTTGCTGGGCACCCCGGCTCACACAGTGTGGCCAGGGAATAAGGACTTGGTATTTCAAGGTTCCTCCGGCCAGGTTTCCCCAGTTCCCCAAGCAGGAGCCTGCTCTTTCCTGGAGCCCTGAGTCCTGATGAGTGAGTCTCCCTAAAAGGATCAAGCTCTTCCACGCTCTTTCCCTGACCACCACCATCACGGGCCACTCACGGGAAGCAGGGGATGAACCGCTGGCGCCCGGGAGGTTCATGCCTGCCTCACAGATGCAAGGGGTTCTGGAAGGAGCCTCCTGGCCAGTGGACTGGCCAGGTCTGACTCAGGCCTCCCCGCGCCTCTCCAGGGGGAGAGGAACCGCCCTGCCCGGTGTCCATAGGACCAGGGCAGAGGCCTGGCTCTGAGGGCCGAGGGGCCAGAGCCAGGGCGCTAGGTGCCCAGGCGAGGCGACGAGAGGCCTGTCCCCGCCGTGCCTCCCAACAGAAACACTGGCTCGGCTCCCTCCTGCCGGAGGTCGGTCACCAGTTTGTGGCCTCAGCCTCGGAGAACGCCCGGCTCAGGGCCCATTTTACTGATGAGACTCGCCGGCTTGCTTCTGTGCTCTGCTGGAAGTCAGCGAGCCAGGGGCCCGCCCCGGCGCGCCGCCC